GACAGAGATTTTACAGCCTCTCTGGCAACCTGTTCCAGTGCGGCCTTGTTGGGGCTCAGTCTAGGAAGCAGTTCACTGTATCACAAGTACATCTGGCTCTAATTTCTTGACTTTTCTTCAGTGAAGTGGGTATTGGCAAGTGAGATGTAATAAGCATTGGTAAGGAAGGTTATACCATGATGCAAAGCCAATTTCTTTGCCAAGAAAAGAGACCAGAAAACAGTCCCGAGTGAGAGAGAATTTGATGCAACACTTCTCACATCACTGCCAGAGGAGCAGTTGAAGATGAAGAGATTGAAGTGTTGTCCAGTTTGGGCTCAGTTTTTGGCAGAACCGAGCAGTTAGCTACGTTAGGGCTGAAGACACAATTTTATCTCTCTCCACTGAGCACTGAGGCCCTGTATCTCTCCTCCCTTCACTCCCTATGGAGAGAGCCAAAGGCAACAAGCTTCCTAGCCCTGACACCTCAGATATGTGTGAAGATAGATGGATTGAATGCAGGCCTAAAATATTTTGCAGTTTCTCTGTAGTTTCACAGCCCTGGCATTATCAAATGATCTTTCAATATACTTGGAAGCAGGGGGAGAATAACTTTGATTTTGGCATCTACTTGATACAGACTCTAACTCTTTTGTGTATGTGTACTTGCAAACTGTCTCGGCCTACATATCCTTGTGGGGCCTGTGCCTATCAGGATATGTTCATGGAAGACAAGTGCTCACGTAGCTGCTCTGCCTGCTCCATTCCCTTCCTGAAGTTTGGAGGCTTCTCCCCACCTCCGGGTGCTGAAGACCCCACTTGTCCTATGCACTGTGCTCCTGTGACCATCCTCGAGTTAGGAACTCGAGGATAGGAAACATAAGGCAAGTTTTAAATCTGAACAGAAGTAAGAGATTAAACCAGCTGGAAACCCCTATATTGCTGATTTTGAATGTGAATGTGGGTCACAGATGTGCTTCCACAGACAGAAACTGGCTGGACAAGAAAAAGACATCAGCAGTGATCAGACTTTTTGATGATCAGAGGTAGATTTAGCTCTTAGGCATTGAGACAAGAAAGAAAGAGGAGATGAAGTAGGAATAAAAACATAATCAAGAGATTAGGAAAGTAGAACTCAACCCACCCATAAATTTGCCTTAGGGAAGGATGAAAAAATGTACTAACAACAAATGATGAAACCAACTGCTACATCTTACTATTTTTCCTTCGCTTGCTTTCCTTACTGTTTTACTCTTTGCTGTCCAAGACACAGGGGGTCCCTTACAGAACCTCCCCTCTTCCTCTGTCGTGTCTTTTCTTTGCAAACTGTGCTGTTCCTCACTTTTCCTTTTCCTTCACAGTACATAACGAATCCTTGGTAAAGACAGGCTGACTTGAGAGCATAACAGAAGCAAAACATGAACTTTGCAGGGAAGTCCCCACTGACAGGCAGGCATGCATGGGAGTGCAGAAAACAATGTGCTTCTGCCCATTCTCTCTCACTGGGAGAGAAGAGCTGTTATTCACTTATGTTTAGGCTAATATGAAATATTAAATCTATTTTCAGTGAAATTAATGATGGACTAATAAGAACCATGCTGCTAGCTCTCGTATGCTGTTGATTAGCCTGTGACTTGGCCTCCCCGAGGACAGAGTAGAAGGCCTGTTGTTTGAACCATTGAAAATAAACGTGAAGCTTTGGAGGAGCAATGTAGGTAAACTGCTGCACTGGCCAGGAGGAGGGAGTACTAATGACAGAGTAGACCTGGTTTTTGTCTGGTGGCTTGGTCTCTTTGGAGAGATTGTTACTGTGGAAGCTGCAGGTTGCAGGGGACAGTCACAGCATCTGGCCCACGTCCCTTCATTTAATAAAGTAGATCAGAGTGCCAGAGGCTGGGGCTGACCTGCTGCCGATTTAGTGACCAGGTGGGTTCTTTAGAAATTACTGGGCTGGGCTGGGTTTTCTGAAAGGTGTTCAGCACTGCCAGGGGAATGCGGCTTGCAGGGTCCCAAGGGTCGTGCCTGTGCTGCTGCTCGGTCTGCAGGCTTTGCTACGTCGGGGCTTTGGGACACGCACTGAGGACCCTGGAGCGCAACCTCTGCTTCCAGCAGCAACCTTCCCTCCTGCTAGAAACCACCAGGCCCTGTGTCCTAACACCAAGAGAAGCCTGAAATAAGAGCGACACTCCTTTATTTGTGAACGTTGCCAGTCTAGCTCACTCCCCATCACTGTTTGCAAACTTGGGGAAATTTCAGATTCAATTCTTGTTTGGAATTCACTTTTCTCAGCCTTAAAGAAAATAAATACATTCTGTAGTTGTTAGTGTTTTAAATCCATTATCAGTGTCAATAAAGATAAGTTATGGGGGGAAAAAAAAAATCAAACTGTCTCAAATCTTTCGCTCATGCAGAAGAGAACAACCCCAAGCATTCAAGGATTAAATGAAAAATATGCCTCTTTTCACTGGGGATCCACTTGGCATGAATAAGTGCCAACTGAGCTCTCACTTGCATCACCATCTGGTGTAATGCACCAAGGCCTAGAGGTGCAGCAAGACGTGTTATAGTGTCCCAGCTCTTTGACAGCGTCTCTGCTCATGGTGATTGAACCACCAGAGGCTCCTAAACAGTAGCAGATCTGTAAATGCAAAGGATTTCATTCTCTTTAGCTTCACCATCTGAGCTAACACCAAGCAAATCATTGTCCAGCCACAACAAAAGTCACAGCTTGGATATGAAGAGAGGCAGCGCAGACTTCCCCTGGCTGCAGAGGCATCCACCAGCTAGGGAGAGGGAAAGCTTTCGAAGGGAAGAGTCTGGGTCGTCTTCTTTCCATAACAGATTTGCATCATTGACATAGCTTTGAACGGTGATTTGGTTGGTCCCCAGTTGTGGGAGGTGGAAAATGCGCCAAAGGCCTTACATCTTGCCACCTTGTTTATAGGGTAGATGGCAAAGCAGGCTATGGCTTGGGTGTGTCTGAGAGTCAAGTGGGTGAACAGCAGCGTGCTCTAGCACCAGCTCCCTGATATACGTGTCTGGGTGCTCCCATTCTTCACTTAGGGACAGATAAGTCCAATGTTTAACCAAAAAAATGGCCAAACACGTGTTTCTACTGATCTTAGCAGCAGTAGTGCATAAGGCAATGGGCTTTAATTTCTCTTTTCCTTCCATCATCATCTCTTTTTTGGTGTTGATTAGTTTGAGAATTTCAACGCAATGCAAGAGATTTTGCTAAAGACACTGAGATTAATTTTGCTGGGCTGCAACTATACATTGATATTGCTGTGAACACCACAGCACAGAGCCTCTTGAGTTATGTCTAGAGACTGCTTGTGGTTTCAGAGCTCTTGCTGATGAATTGCCCAGCAGCTGGTCACACTGGGAGGGTTATGCTTATTATTTTCAATTGCTGTTTTGCATGGAAGGAAGATCAAAATAGTTTCCTCAAGGTAAATGGCTGTAAAAACAACTGAAGAATTTTCTACAAGGTTTTAATGCAAATGATTGGAATTATATGTAATTTATACCTCTGAAGATATGTTCTTGCCATCAGAGCCTTCTTTTGTGAAAAAAAAAAAACCTTTGCTGGCAAGAAAAGGCAGATTGCACTGTTACAGGCAGATTGAACATGAATTTCCACTTAGTAGTGATTAGAAGTCAGCATAATGTCAGGATCATCACTTAGATGTAGTTGTTCACGGTGTGAAATAGTTGGGTAGGATGCTGTGACACAACAACACATCTGCAAATTTTCCATTTGGTTTTTGGTCAGTGGGAAAGGATGCGTCATCATTGCATTCACTGCAGCACCACAACAG